CCTGCCTCCGGGGGCGACCGCCTGCGCGTCGGGAGGGAGCCGCGCGGCAGAGGCAGTGCGCGCCGCGGCCCCTGTGCCAACGAGGCCCCGCGTCTCGTTGCACCCGCCTTGGCTGGGGTCGGAGCTGCGGCACTGCCCGTCGCTAGCCCCCACCGCGCCCCCGGGAGCAGTAAGGTAGTGGACAGAGCGGCCAGGGCCGCCGCTGGCTCCCCACCGGCCCTCCGGCTGCTTCGGCTTTCTAGGCCGGCTTGACAGCGCCCTTCCGCGGGGCTTTTGCTCCGGCTTCCCAGCGCTCTCCAGGGCTTCCCGCCGCGGCCCGTGGGAGTGCGCAGGGGCCAGAGGGCTGCCCCTCCGGCGGCTGAGGGCTGCCCCGTCCGCCGGGGCAGAATCCTGACACATGGTTGCTGGGTCTGTGATTTGCCAGGCGAGACTCTGGTTCCCAGGCTTCTACCTTTGACCTCCGGAAGAGGCGGCCAGGGGCTTAGTTTCTGGCCCTGGGGGATTGTCAGCGGGGAGCTGCTTTAGCCTTGGGGCTCTTAGCCTTTGTCATTTCCCTTTTCCATCTGGGATCTGGTTACACCTCCCACTGAGAGGGGCACTCCTGTCTGTGATGAGGGGTGAGGGTCAGGGGTCAAAAGGTAAAGGGAAAGTTAGTCTACCGGCTGACTTAAATTAGATCCATTGCCAGTGGCAAGTAGCACCTGTTACGCGTGGTAGGAGGAGACCTGGGGTTCATGTCTCAGATGGTTTCTTGGGGGGGTCGGCGGGGCAGGCTTCCCACCAGGCCCTCCCGAGATCCCAGGGTGGGTTCCTGGCAGAAACAGGGTGCACAGCCCCAGGGGACTGCTTCCCTGCCTCACTTCCTTGGCCTTTATTGGGCTACATTGTAGGGGAAGCTGGGGCTTTTACATAGTTACCCAAGAAATACACTGTTCTCTCACCTAGAGCCTTGAGAGATTGTTCCGGAGGCTTGAACTCAGTGAGCCTTCAGAGTGTCACAGCACGCAGTGCCCTTGGCTAGAGCTCAGGTTCCTGCAACTCCAGTTTCAGGGTGCAGCCGAAGGCCACTGGGAAGCCCCCAGCACCCAGCAGCCGGAGTGCGGCCTGCAGTGATGGCAGCAGAATTTCAGCTTCCTGGTGAGGGGTATCTAGGGCCTGCTTCTGCTACTTTGCTTACAGAGACTAGAATACAGGGAGAAGGCACTGTTTGCTGCTGCCCAGAAGCGTCTGGCTGCTGAGGAAGAAATAAGAGACAGTGGACATTCACTGGAGGTCTGTTTTTCTTTCCCTCGCCTTCCCTAGTACATACAGGCCGAACCACCCACCAACAAGTCCCTGTCCAGCCTGGTTGTGCAGTTGCTGCAGTTTCAGGAAGAAGTTTTTGGCAAACATGTCAGCAACGCACCGCTCACCAAACTGCCGGTGAGTGAGGGGTCGGGGTGAAGCCTCCCAACGGAAAGAGAATTGTTTTGTCTTTCTGTCAGTGTCGTCATTTCCTGCTGGTCCCATCGCTGGCCAGGCCCCTGGTGGCTGGGCCTGGGCCCCGATTCACCACCCCGTTCTCTTAGCCATGCTTCGTGCGGCGGGAATCCCAGAGTGTCTGAGTTGAGGAGCCGCAGCTTGTGCCAGGTTCAGAGGTGTGAGCTGGCCTGGCCCAGGCCGGGGAGCTCTGCCACTTGGTGTCTCTGTGACCTTGGGCGAGCCACGGAAGCCTCTAAGCCTGGGTCCCGCGTCTCTAGCTGGGTGAACGGCCCTGCTTGTAGGTTCTGCAGCGACTGGCGAGAGCGGTAGAGTGGTGGGTGCAGACGGGACGTCGCAGGTGTCGGCTTCTTTCCTTCCCCTCTTCCGTCCACGTGACACAGTGGCTCAGGGTTGAAGATTTCCAGTTTTGAGAGGGACGGCACTTCAGCATGGGATTTTATGAAAGGATTGCGAGGTAGTAAGAGAATTGAGGATCTGACGCTCACATACTTCTTTCCTGTCTCGACTTTGTAGATCAAATGTTTCCTAGATTTCAAAGCAGGAGGCTCCCTGTGCCACATTCTTGCAGCTGCCTACAAATTCAAGAGCGACCAGGGATGGTGAGATGCCTTCTCGTCCAGCTTTGCACATTTAGTTTAAAGGGAATCTGCCCTTTCGATTCCCTGGGGTCTTGGGGGCAGAGCATAGACAGACCTGACTTACTGCTCGGGGAAATGGCCGCGCTCAGGGCCGGAGCGCCGCCCCGACGTGGCGGCTGTGTCGTGTGCGTCAGTGAGTGTCGTAGAGGAGGAGGCAGTCTTAGCTGCCATAGCAAGCTTTTCTTTGTCCTTCCGGACTCATACGAAGCGGTTCGTGGAGTTGAGGTCACAGAACCCCAGATCTCGGTGGCTGAGAGAAAATGACCTCGTGATTTCCCATGTTAGAGCGTCACGCCCCTAGCCTCGCCCTGACCTGAGCTGTGCCACTCACTAAGTCCCTGCTTCTTTACAGGCGGCGCTACGACTTCCAGAACCCATCACGCATGGACCGGAACGTGGAGATGTTCATGACCATTGAGAAGTCGTTGGTACAGGTGAGTCAAGAACCGCCCCCGTCCGTTTCTCTTCCTTCAGTGAGAATAAGAACTTTCCATTTCCCATAATCTCATCCCTTCTGTTTCTTCTCCCCACAGAATAATTGCCTATCGCGACCTAACATTTTTCTGTGCCCAGAAATTGAACCTAAACTGCTAGGGAAATTAAAGGACATTATCAAGCGCCACCAGGTGAGCAGGGCCAGGAGGTTTCAGAAAGTCCTTGTCTTTTTTTTTTTTTATAATTTAAAAAAATTTCTTCAATCTGCCGTTTTTCTTTTTCTTTCTTTCTTTCTTTTTTTTTTTTTTAAGATTTATTTATGCATATAGAGCTGGGGTACAGGCCAGAGGTGCAGGGGGTGAGACTCATCAGAGACAGCGGAGAGCAGAACAGGCAGATCAACTGACACACACTGCTGAGGGGAGCAGCGGGGAGACAGGAGGGGTCTGCTGCACCCTGGGGTCACTCCCAGGCCGGGGATCGAACTGGTGGTGAAGCGGCTGCGGCCAGCTTCGTAGCGCTGGGGGTCAACCCCTGCGCCACCAGGGAGGCCTTGTAGCACATCTTCAGTCCTCCAGCAGTGGACCTTAGGTCACTCCCAGCTCCTTGCTATCGCCATTTGCCTGACCCACTCTTTTGGATCACTTCCTAGAGGGACTGTCTTGGCCTGCAGATGGAGTGGTCATGCGGAGAGAAGGGAACATCTACTTCCACTGTGCTAGAGATTGTCTGACTTCAGATACATGAAATCCAGGCTTGTCTTGAATTCTGGAATAATAAGCAGATGGAATAATAAGCTGGGGACATGGAGACCTACATTTCCGTGTCTAGATTATTTACTAAAAAGATTACTTGTAGCAATTTTTAATTCTCTGACTTTATGTCACCAGTAGCAAAATCTCAGCGGTTTTACCTGCCATTCTGTAGTAGGTGCTTAAACAAACGGCCTCACCTTAATGTTGTGAGCAGAACGTGAATAGGGAGGCAGATGTGTGGTTGAATCTTATTTTCATTTACTTACACCCATGAGTAATTCAGAAATAACCCTAATTTTCCTGCTTCTCTTGTGTCGTCCAGGGAACAGTCACCGAGGATAAAAACAATGCCTCCCACGTCGTGTATCCTGTCCCCGGGAACCTGGAGGAAGGTGAGGCCTGGCTCCCCGCCGCCGTGGCTGGCTCAGACCAGACCCCTGGAGGCCAAGGGCTGCTCATCCCCTCGCAGCTGCGGCGCGAGGCCTCCTGCCCGCCTCCCTCTCTGTTCAGGTCTCTGCTGCACCGGGAGTCGGTACAGTGACTTTGTGCGTCCCCCCTTCGCCTCATCTCTCTCCCTTTTCTCTCTCCATCTCCAGAGGAGTGGGTCCGACCGGTCATGAAGAGGGACAAACAGGTTCTTCTGCACTGGGGCTATTACCCTGACAGGTGAGGGTGGGTTCCCGGGGTAGCAACCGAAAAGCCCTAGAACATCTAGCAGAGTGAGAAGGCGCCGCTGGGGATGGTTTTTAGGTGTGTTCATTTGCTTTCCCCCCACCCAGTGTGTGAATTCTCTGTTTGGGAAGCTTGGACTTCCTGAGTGAGAATCGGGACTTTTATCTGTGAAATAGTTATCCCAGTAGTGGTTTTGGAAAAGATTTCTTTATTTATGCATGCAAGAGCTGGGGCACAGGCCAGAGGTGCGGGGTGAGAGGATTCACCAGAGACAGAGTGGGGCGCAGGACAGGTAGACCCACTGAAACTCACTGCGGAGGGGAGCAGCGGGGAGAGAGGAGGGGTCTGCTGCGCCCTGGGGGTCCCTCCCTGGCCGGGGATCGAACTCGTGCTGCAGCGGCTGCGGATGGCTGCATAGGGCCGCGCTCCAAGCCCTGGGCTGCCTGGGAGGGCCCCCAGTACTTCGTGCTGGCGCAAATGTGCAAGACATGTGCGTCACTGTTCCGCAACTCCACCCCTGAATGCCGTCTCGCCCCACCTCCCGCGCCAGTTACGATACCTGGATCCCAGCCAGTGAGATCGAAGCATCCGTGGAAGATGCGCCCACTCCCGAGAAGCCTAGGAAGGTGGGTGCTCCTCATCCCCCGTCCCGAGAACCCCGGGACCAGACCACTGCCTGGGGGCCCGCGGCTGGCCTACTGAGGCCCGGACGGTGCCGCGCAGGTTCACGCCAAGTGGATCCTGGACACTGACACCTTCAACGAATGGATGACGGAGGAGGACTATGAAGTGAACGACGACAAAAATCCCGTCTCCCGCCGAAAGAAGATTTCAGCCAAGACGTTGACAGATGAGGTGAAAATCTTGTTTTCTTTGGCCCTATAGCATAGGTCTCAGATTAGGTTTCCTTGCGGGGTGCTGGCTAACGAGCACCCAATTCTCCAGGTGAACAGCCCAGATTCAGATCGACGGGACAAGAAGGGGGGGAACTACAAGAAGAGGAAGCGCTCCCCCTCTCCTTCGCCAACTCCAGAAGCTAAGAAGAAAAACGCTAAGAAAGGGTAAGCCGGCCCTTCCTGCCCTGCCGGGGCAGTCCCTGCTCGCCCTGTCCCCGTCCGCTGGGCCCTGACCGCGGTGTCCTGAGGGCCGAGGCCGTCTCCCTCGGGGACCCTGTCACTCTGGCAGCCACCAGAGGAGAGACTTCACTGTCCCCGCGACAGGCCTTCCCCGGTTGCGCGCTGGAGCCGCCTCTGGTCTCCTCCCCCTCCCGTTCCCGGACCTCCAGCGTCCAGGGACTTGGCCAAGGATGACTGGGCTCCCGTTCGTTCTCTTTCCCACTCAGTCCCTCGACACCTTACACCAAATCAAAGCGTGGGCACAGGGAAGAGGAGCAAGAAGACCTGACAAAGGACATGGACGAGCCCTCACCAGTCCCAAACGTGGAGGAGGTGACGTTGCCCAAAGCAGGTAGGCGCAGGCCGGCCTCCGGGACCCAGCGCCCGCCCGCCCTGCTTAGCGACGCTATTTCCACCCACCGCGACCTTCCACCCAGGCGTCCAGCCCTCAGTCGTGGCCGCTGCTGTGCAGTGGAAGCCTCTCGTCACTAACCGGCTCTCAGGTTCCCGGCTCACAGCCTTATGCCTCAGCATCTTCCTGACGATGCAGCCCTGTCGGGTGTTTCAGCACAGATGTGCTGCCAAGCCACTGCTTTAGGGCCGTCGTGGACACTCTGTCTGAAATGTGGAGGGGTAAAACTGCCGAGGAGGAGAAGCCCTGACGCCCTCTGCCCGCTCCGGGGCCGTCTCTCCCACGGTGTCAGGCCCTGCGCCTGCGATTACCATCTCCCGTGCCCGGGACCTTGTCTCCCGGGTGGGGTTGTCAGGAGCCACCGGAGGCGTCTGGCTTCCTGCTCTTCAGAGCTGCTCTTGTTTCCAACTGAATTTTCTCCTAAGCGTCTGTGTGTGAATTCTGCTAAGCTTCAGTGGGAGAAATTCACCTGCTTTCAAAATGTTTACGATCCAACCAGCTTAAGATCCAGGAAAATTAGGGCTATTTCTGAATTACTCAGAGTGTAAACAACTGAAAATAAGATTGAACCACACACCTGCCTCACTCTACAGAGTGAATGAATCATTCTCCCTGTGTCCATTGAGAACTCCCGGATGCAGGCCTCCCTGGTGGTGCAGGGGTTAAGTCTCAGCACTAGGGAGCTGTCTGCAGCCACCACAGCACCCATTCGTCCTGGCCAGGGAGTGACCCTCAGGGCGCAGCAGCCCTCTCCTGTCTCCCTCCTGCCCCCTCAGCAGTGTGCCTCATGGATCTGCCCTTCTGTCTCCCACTCTGTCTCTGGGGAATGCTCACCCTCTCTTCCTCCCCCTCCCCCGCACCTCTGGTCTCCACCCCAGCTCTTGTATGCTTAAATAAATCAACCTTTTATAAAAGAGAGAGAGAACTTACAGATATGTGGAACGGAGACAGGGCCTGTCAAAGATCAGAGTGATTTATGCTAGTATGTACAAGGGAAGATGCTGCTTTATAGGACTAAAAGTAAGTGACCTCTTGGTTGTAAGAGCGGAAAGTGGCAGGTCAGTTTTAAGCCCCAGGAGGATTGTAACCAGAGGAAGTTACCTGCTTTGTAATCAGATGGAGAAAGCTTTGCAGAAAGTGTGCTCAGAACTGCTCTCAGCGGGGAGGTGAGGACTTGATCTGGGCAGAGCCTGGCTGACACAGCGACTCTTTTCTCTGCCAGTCAACACCAAGAAGGACTCCGAGTCAGCCCCGGTCAAAGGCGGCACCATGACCGACCTGGGTAAGAGGGCGCCTTGGGCCGGGCAGAGCCCCGGGGCCGGCGGCCCCCTCGGGAGCTGCACATTGTTCTCTCTCTCTTCCAGACGAGCAGGAGGACGAGAGCATGGACACCACCGGCAAGGTGGGGCCGCGGGGAGGCCCCTGTCATCAGCCCCTGCGGGTCTGACTTGAGGCTGTGAAGCCCCTGCCCCCGGGGGGGCCCAGGCCTTTCCCACCCAGGCTAGTCCGAGCTTCGGAGCTCGGACCCCTCAGATTCCTGGGTCCGTTCACTCCCGCGCCATCTCTGGAGGCCACGTTACTGGGGCACAGGAGAAACGGGTGGCTGAGGGCAAGGCGGAAATGAGGGTGTGCAGCTGCCTCTGCGCTCTTAGGATGAGGATGAGAACAGCACGGGGACCAAGGGGGAGCAGGCCAAGAACCCAGACCTGCATGAGGACAACGTGACCGAGCAGACGCACCACATCATCATCCCCAGCTACGCCGCCTGGTTCGACTATAACAGGTAGCATCGCTCCATCTGAAATTTATAAAGATTTACTTATTATGCACACAAGAACTGGGGTACAGGCCAAGGGGGCGGCGGTGAAAGGATTCCCCAGAGTCAGAGTGGGGAGCAGAGTGGGCAGATCTACTGAAATCCACTGCCGGGGGGGAAGTGGGAAGACAGGTGAGGTCTGCCGCGCCCTGAGGGTCACTCCCTGGCCAGGATCCAGGATGGAACTTGTGCTGTGATGGCTGCAGACAGCTTCCTGGTGCTGAGACTTAACCCCTGCGCCCCCAGGGAGGCCCAGTGGTGTTGCTTTCGCCTCTCAGGCGTCCATGTGTTTGGCTTGGGATGGGCCACTGTGTCGGCCTCCCCGCCTCCAGATGAGTTTGCCCCCCTCAGCCAGTGCCCGGCACACGTCGGTTTTAGGAGCGCTCCCGGTCTCTGAGTCTGCCGCCTGGAGGAGCCGCCTGCGTCTTCCTGCCGTCTCCAGCTCGCTACCAGCCCACCTGGGCCCTCCGGGCTGCCCCCTGGCCAGCACCCCTGACCCTCTCTGTTCTCCCTGCAGTGTTCACGCCATCGAGCGCAGGGCTCTCCCCGAGTTCTTCAACGGCAAGAACAAATCCAAGACGCCAGAAATGTAAGGCTCTCGGCTGTGCCCTCCCTCTGCTGCTCGCCCTTCTGATGGGCGGCTGGCAGGCGCGTCTGCGGGCCAGGACTGGCCCCGCCCACAGTAGCCAGCTGGGCACGTTCTTCTGTCCGGAAAGCTCCGCAGCAGCGCCCCACTCTCTTAGCAGGGCGCAGAGCCCCTTAGCCCGCGACTAGCCGGGCCCACATGCGCTGTCCCACCTTACGTGAGGCTTTGCCCGGAGTGTAAGTTAGCTTTGCCGGGCTGGTTCCTTAGGGTAGGGGGCGACAGAAAATGTGAGTGGAGGAACGTCGGAGCCCCGAGGCAGTGCAGGAGGGAGGCAGGGTGTGGACGAGCCCTCTAAGGCGCAGCAGTCCCCTCCGGGTGTCCCCTCCGCCGCCCTACTGGCTGTAGGTGAGGTTTCCCGCCCGGCCTGACACTAGGAGGCGCCAGCCTCCTCCTTTGGAGTCAGTTCCTTCCCCTCCCTGTTTCTTTCCTCAAATCTTGTATCTTTCTCCTCTCGCTTGGGACAGCAGTGTGGGAGGCGAAGCTGCTGTCTGCGGAGGCTGTGAGCAGGCGGCAGGGTCCAGCCGGCTGGGCCCGCGTGCTCCGCAGCCCGCCTCGGGCACTGTGCTGAGGGCCGCCTGCGATGCTTCCCGGGGAGGTGCCTTAACCCAAGGCTGCAGGTCAGGCCGGCCAGGAGGCTGAGTCACGGCCGCGCCTCACAGCTGCTCAGTGATACAGCCTGGAGCTGAAACTACCTTCTAGCTCTCGCCGACACACTTGACACCATTCGCACCATAGCTACATTTGTGAGCGCCTGCCACGTGCCTGACACTGTGCTCGGCCTTTGCAGACCGACACTCTGTTACAGATGAGAAAACCGGGGTTCAAAAAGTTAAGTGAGTTCAAAAAAACCACCAGAAATTTAGGTGACGTGCCAGTGTGCACTGGCTGCGTCTGCCTTCAGAGCAGGCACCGTCCTGCGTCACGCTGGCTCCTAGCCAGAACTCCCCTCTGATTTACACCTGATTTGGAAACGGGGGCACTGCTGCTTACCTTTTGATTGTGCATTAAAAAATTGGATGAAACATCTGCAGTACAGTCAGAGAGGTAACTCGTGTAACTAGAAATCCACCAAGGAAATGGTGTCAGCAAACCACCCTGGCCGCCAGGCCGAGCCCTGGCCGCCAGCACCTGGGAGACAGTGTTTGAGGTAAACGAGCTGTTCTTTGCTGACGTCCTCTGCACAGAAGTCAGTAGCACCTCATTATTTTTCCTCCTCTTCAGCCTTCAGCCGACATTTACATTTCTCCCCCATTTCTCTCGCTCTCCCCTAAGCTACCTGGCCTATCGAAACTTCATGATTGACACTTACCGGCTGAACCCCCAAGAGTATCTCACCTCCACCGCCTGCCGCCGGAACCTGGCAGGCGATGTCTGCGCCATCATGAGGTAGGTCTCAGAGCAAGGCGCCCCTAGCGAGGGCAGAGCAGGCCTGGGGGCGAGAGCCCTGCGCGGCCAGGAGCGGCCTTCTGGGGAGCGGGCGAGAGTGTCCGCAGCTGGAGGAGGGCGCCACCGCGTAGCCCTCCAGGAAGACGGGCACAGCAGCGGGTGCAGGGAGAGCGCCCCGCTGCGGTGGCCTCGGGTGCCGCTGGTGGGGAGATGTGAGCAGATGTGTGCCCAGCCTGCCCCCTCGCGTCCTGCCGGCTGCCCCCCGTGACCCGGGGTCCCTCTCCTCGCAGGGTCCACGCCTTCCTGGAGCAGTGGGGTCTTATTAACTACCAGGTGGATGCTGAGAGTCGACCAACCCCAATGGGGCCCCCCCCCACCTCCCACTTTCATGTCTTGGCGGACACACCATCAGGGCTGGTGCCGCTGCAGCCCAAGACCCCCCAGGTAGGGTGTGGGGCTGTGGGCCGGGGGCGGGCAAAGTGGGGCTTCCTTGGACTTTTCTGTTTCCGGGTAATGGCTCAGGAGTGCTTTCTGTGAGATGAAAGGGTCCTAGGAGTCAGCCGTGTGTCTAGCACCTTCTGTCAGCCTCTGGGACTGAGACTGAGGCCAAGCTGAGGGAGGAGAGATGCTTCTTGTCCTCAGAGCAGCCAGGCTGATGTAGGGGGCGGAGCAGATAGGGAAAAATGCTTAAAGTTAAGTTGCATGAAATTTTTGAACTTTTACCATGTATCCCACATTTTTTCATTTTTGCCTCATAATTATTACCGCTTCCATTTTTTGATTCCACTTCCATCTCATGCATTCAGTTAAGGGGAGAAAGACTGTGGCTTGCCCAAATCCAGAGTACCAGAATTAGCTTAGATCCTACATGTCCAGCTCCGAAAAGAACTGCACCATCACACGTAAAGCTGGTGGCTGCGGCCAGGCTCCGCTCTCCAGGGGGCCGTGGAGCGGCGGCGCGAGCGCCCCAGAGCTGTGGCTCGCTGGCGTTGGCCTTGAGGCCTCGGAGCCTCGGCCTGGTCATTTTCCGCCCAGCCTCCATGACGCCAAGCTCTGTCCCCCAGGGCCGCCAGGTCGATGCTGATGCCAAGGCTGGGCGAAAGGGCAAAGAGCTGGATGACCTGGTGCCAGAGACGGCTAAGGGCAAGCCAGAGCTGGTAGGTGGGATGTAGACCCCGCTGGGCTTTTTTTTTGCCCCTTTATTGGGGGGCCCCTGCCCGGGAAGAAGAGACATGAGCACAGAGGAGCAGCAGCAATAAGGGAGGACACCCCGCCGGCGCGTCCGGCGCGGGCAGCAGCCCTCTGTCCCTCTGTCTTTCCTCTGTCTGCCGCCGACGCCTGCGGTCACTCGGCCTCACCGCTCGCTTTCCCTCCATGCGTAGCAGACATCTGCTTCCCAGCAAATGCTCAACTTCCCTGACAAAGGCAAAGAGAAGCCAGCCGACATGCAGAACTTCGGGCTCCGCACCGACATGTACACCAAGAAGAACGTCCCTTCCAAGGTACGGGCGTGTGGCCGCTCGGCTCTGGGGCCCGCTGCGCAGAGGCCGCAGCGCCCTGACGCTCCCGCGCTTCTCCCGCAGAGCAAGGCAGCAGCCAGTGCCACACGGGAGTGGACAGAACAGGAGACGCTGCTGCTCCTGGAGGTGAGCGCGCCAGAGGGCCGGGGCACAGGCCGGGGGCGGCCGCTGCACTCTCGCCTCGTCCTCCGCGTGCTGCTTGGGCGTGTGTGGCTGCGGAGGCCACACGGCGCGGGAAGCGGGCGCCCACGCACGGAGTAGCAGGGCGGGCAGCCGTGTCTCCACCACCCTGTAGGCGCTGGAGATGTACAAGGACGACTGGAACAAGGTGTCGGAGCACGTGGGCAGCCGCACCCAGGACGAGTGCATCCTGCATTTTCTTCGTCTTCCCATTGAAGACCCGTACCTGGAGGACTCGGAGGCCTCGCTGGGCCCCCTGGCCTACCAGCCCATCCCCTTCAGCCAATCAGGCAACCCTGTCATGAGCACGGTGGCCTTCCTGGCGTCTGTCGTTGACCCCCGAGTCGCCTCTGCCGCGGCCAAGTCAGCCCTAGGTAACGCGGCCGCCCGCCCGCTG